TACGCAGAAAATTTATGAAAATAGCGTTCGAAAGTCTGCGGAACAAATTCCAGTGAGAGTTCTTCAATGGTTCTCACAGATTCAGTTCGCTTGTTTCGGCTCGACAAAAATTTTTTGGCAGAACTATTTCAAATAACAAGTAGATTCGGTTTAGCGAAAAAAAAAAAAATTGGGGTCAGGTGCACTTTAAGGACATTGAACAAGGTAATCGCACTTGACTGGTATTGACGTTAAAAGTACAGCGGAACAAATACACGCCAAACGACGGTTCTGGCAAACGAGATTTCGCTATCCAATACGTTTTGAATAACAGTGTATTTCTGTACAAACTTCTGTCAGGAACTGATGTACAGTCTTTTACAAGCAATGGTTTCCAAAGCTATTTTTTTCGATATTTTTGGTTATAGCAGAATGAAGATCTAAACTATATTCAGCTGGATAGACCACTATCTCACGAGCAGGTTTGTTATTACGATTTAGTCATAGGTCGTTGTAGCATGTGACTGCAGGCAGTCGGTTTTTCTCTCGAAATTCCGTAGGGGTTATGAGGCCAGACGCTTTCGTAAGTCTTGAGGGAATGGGACGAGACATGGGCACGTCTCGCCTCATTCCGTACTCGGTCATACCATCCTTTTGCGTTCGCAATGCCTAAACCCGGGCCGGATGGGGGGCAAGGGGAGGGGAGACGGGGGGCTGGTTAAACACTCGTCTAATTGACTCTCAGATAAAACGCCAGCTGCCACCAGCTATTGGAGTATAAGGCGTGAACTGAATGAGGAGGAAAACCCGAAAGAGGGCTGACTGGAACCGACCACGTGAAAGACATGTGATCTTCCTCTTTGTATGCCCATGAGCGTGTGGGAGACGAGCACGTGACAAACTCCAAAAAGAGTCTTAAAGAAGACTAGCAAACTAGAAATGCCGTCTGGTCTCTGATATATTGTTGATGACGATGTCGATGATGTATACCGATGTCGACAACGAATACTACTAATGGCAACATAGATACAATCTTACGATAATAACATAATTTATACCGTTCCATAGAAAATACAGCCAATCAGAATACAGGGAAGCCGTTGTATATTCGACGGTATTACATCCAACCTTCCCATCATGCACCGCGCGTATGTCGCGCTGATTGTGTTGGCCACTGTATTTTCAATGGCATGGTATAAAATAGTTATGCAACGCTCTTTTGTGGTATACCATGGAATATTCCACTTGTCACTTGTATTATCTTGATATACACACTCTTCCTCGTGTGTATACTGAGAAAATACAAGTGGCCTGTGGGATATTCTATGGCGGTATACCACGAGAGAGCGTTGCATAATTAGTCCCCGATTATGACTCCTGTTAGTACGTATATAATGGTTGCGTACATTACGCCGAGATTCAATTAATGTGTCCAACAATACCAGCTTTACTTGCTTTGTCTCTTTTGGCGTTGCAGCAATGGACGTATGACACACACTATGATTATTTTGGTGAGTTTAGAAATAAACAAATATATTACTGCGGTTGTACGTTAGGGACAAGCACAGGAGGTTATGAAAAGTCGTGAAAAACTGCAGCAGAAAGTACATTGCAATTAGTATTAAAACAAACCATCAGCAAACAAATATCCTTGCTACACCATTGAAAGGTGCTACATCACGGTTTACGCATCTTGAAAAGTTTAGTCTAGATTTTTCAAGCTCGTCGTTTGCAATCCGTATTAATCTTCTCCATCCTTAACCATCCTTGTTCCTTTATGATTTATTATTATCTCTTTGGTGTTTTTCTATCCTAGTAAACTATTATTTTCAGGGTTTCTGTAAAACGCGGATGCGTGATTCCTTACCGTGACATTTAGTTTGTCACGCATTCCTCTCAATAACTTTGGCGTTTCGCGGCTATTCGAGATCAATTGCCGCTCAATTCGAAGAGAAACCGGAACCCAAATAGGACAAAACAGCAAAAACCAAAAACCACATCGGATACCAAAACCGAAAAGTATTTTTTACGAAAACCGAAAACCAGATGCTAAAAAACGAAAAAACCGAAGTCTTTGGGCACAAAAACCGAAAAACCGATCTAAAACATAGCCAAAACCGCAAAACCGAAGATCCCAATGGCCCCCTTGTGCAGGTAAGTATCCTTTCAACCCTTTTAGTTTTTGTGACCTTTTGTGAGTAGACCACTACAATAAGAAGTCTAATAGAATTGTGGTGTTGACTTTGTCAAAGGAACGCCCTCCTTAGCTTTTATGCGGGTCCTAATCATGGGCCATAATTTTTCGTTTCAATATCAAAACCCGGGTATCAAAACTGCTTCTGCTGCTTAACGGCCGCTATGCGTCTCCATACAAAGCTCTATGAAATTTGGGTGAAACACATTTTCGAGTATCGTGCGAATAAAAAAATCTTGGCAAAGTTGTTTATATATCAATCATCTATAATGTACCAGATTCTTGACTTAATTTATGGTTATGATTTTTATTTTTTGATGGCGTGACAGTGTAAACCAGCAATTTATATCAGCTTGGTAGCGAGATACTGGAGTGAAGTGTTGATAGAGTTGATACATTGCTAGCGTTAGAAATACATTGTTATTCTACGCAATACAAGGAAACTTTTGGTCTTTTTAAAGCAAGAAGAAGCTTTGGCCAATAATATGGCGCATTAACAAAGTTGCAAGGTCTGCGTTTTGAGACTCTTGGCATAGATGTGTTTTGCATAATGTCCCAGATATCAGATATGAGAAATTTGGGTAAAACTTTTAGGTCAAGGTGTTTTGGTATTTGTCACTTTTGTTACGTAAATGGCTCAGGTGAGCTCATTTCTTGTTTGGTAACAATTTTCTAGCTGGCTTTACATCATTCAACATGATAACATTTGATATCAATTTTTTTTAATTATCGTCATTTTTTTTTTTTTCATTTTTTTTTTTTTACATTCCTTTTGTCCGCCGTCCGTCATCCGCCGTCCGTCATCCGCCGTCCGTCATCCGCCGTCCGTCATCCGCCGTCCGTCATCCGCCGTCCGTCATCCGCCGTCCGTCATCCGCCGTCCGTCAGTTTTAGCGAGTGGAAACGTAACGGCTTGCGTGAGAGCTGCGCATGCGTACGTCAGTTTAAACACCATGTGATCATGTGATACAGAATATAGACAAACCTCAGAGCCATGCATATGAAGTGGCCATTCTTGCTGCGGTATAAATATCATTCATTTATAAGAATTTAACGGTATAGCACTCTCTCGCATTTTGCTTGAGTTTTGCGCTATTAACGAAATGCATTTACAAGCAGACAGTGTAGTTATGTTCTCTTTGCCTCGCAGGAGATCGGACTGAACAAGCTCCATTACCTCGCGCCAGTGATCTGTTTAGTGCAGATTTGGAAGGCGAGATCGACATGCAAATCAACAGGGAACTTTTTATCCACTACACTTTCCTTTCCCTGGTAAGTTGTCGATCTCGTCACTCGGCACACATTGATCTCTACAAATCTCTTATCTCCCTCTTCGCTCCAACTCCGTCTACTTTTCCCCTTTGCGGGATTTAACCTTAATTTTCTTAGAGCGATCAAACATCTAAATACCCTATGATTGTGTAAACAAACTCCTACAGTATCGTGACATTGAAGTGAAATCTGCTGAGCAGCACATTTCTGTAGTGCGTTACATAGGCTGAGCACTTTGGGCCTTTTTGCTGATTCACACCTCTACCTGATACACTTGGGAAATGAGGCGCTGAAAAGAATACAAATCANGGCGCATTAACAAAGTTGCAAGGTCTGCGTTTTGAGACTCTTGGCATAGATGTGTTTTGCATAATGTCCCAGATATCAGATATGAGAAATTTGGGTAAAACTTTTAGGTCAAGGTGTTTTGGTATTTGTCACTTTTGTTACGTAAATGGCTCAGGTGAGCTCATTTCTTGTTTGGTAACAATTTTCTAGCTGGCTTTACATCATTCAACATGATAACATTTGATATCAATTTTTTTTAATTATCGTCATTTTTTTTTTTTTCATTTTTTTTTTTTTATTTTCCTTTTGTCCGCCGTCCGTCATCCGCCGTCCGTCATCCGCCGTCCGTCATCCGCCGTCCGTCATCCGCCGTCCGTCAGTTTTAGCGAGTGGAAACGTAACGGCTTGCGTGAGAGCTGCGCATGCGTACGTCAGTTTAAACACCATGTGATCATGTGATACAGAATATAGACAAACCTCAGAGCCATGCATATGAAGTGGCCATTCTTGCTGCGGTATAAATATCATTCATTTATAAGAATTTAACGGTATAGCACTCTCTCGCATTTTGCTTGAGTTTTGCGCTATTAACGAAATGCATTTACAAGCAGACAGTGTAGTTATGTTCTCTTTGCCTCGCAGGAGATCGGACTGAACAAGCTCCATTACCTCGCGCCAGTGATCTGTTTAGTGCAGATTTGGAAGGCGAGATCGACATGCAAATCAACAGGGAACTTTTTATCCACTACACTTTCCTTTCCATGGTAAGTTGTCGATCTCGTCACTCGGCACACATTGATCTCTACAAATCTCTTATCTCCCTCTTCGCTCCAACTCCGTCTACTTTTCCCCTTTGCGGGATTTAACCTTAATTTTCTTAGAGCGATCAAACATCTAAATACCCTATGATTGTGTAAACAAACTCCTACAGTATCGTGACATTGAAGTGAAATCTGCTGAGCAGCACATTTCTGTAGTGCGTTACATAGGCTGAGCACTTTGGGCCTTTTTGCTGATTCACACCTCTACCTGATACACTTGGGAAATGAGGCGCTGAAAAGAATACAAATCATCATTGCATTATACCCTTTACTGAGGGTTCCGGATCGATTCTAGCACCGACAAAGCCAACCTGACTGGTGCTCATTAGAGTGAGACTGAAATCATCAATATCAGCTCAGGAATATTGTTTTTTTTTTTTGTTTTTATTTGTACATCTAAATTCTCACAACTGGTACAAAAATATAAATGACAAGAGTAAGAGGAATTTGCATTTGTTAACTAATTGCATGGGACTCCAGGGTTGAAAATTTAAACAATATTTGTTTCTGGCCTGCTCAAACATTCACGATATCGGACGTAATAAATTTTGCTTTCCTATTTTCTAACCTCCGTAATCAATAATCTGTCGTTTCTTTTCATTATTACAGGCGTTTCATTTTTATCGTGACGACATCAACCTTCCCGGCTTTCATAAATACTTCAAATTAGCTGCTCGTGAAAGGATGAAGCATGCACACATGGTGAGAGACTGCTGAACATAATGGCACTAAAAGCATTCCCGGGCCAGAACTATTCGTTATGAGTTAGCTCTTCGTTTCGCCGACCAAATGGACAAACGAACACAACAGCGTGGGTGTAATCCCCAAGAGTGCAACTAAACGAGAAATAAGATCATTGGGCTAACTGCAAGGTTTAGGGACTTTGGCACAAGCCAAAATATGGTGCCTTATAATTACATTACAGGACTCTATCGTATGCGGCTTCAGGGAGCTCCATTGATTGGCATGGAAACTGAGCTCTCTCTTCGCCCATTCTTTCTTGAGGGGACTAACTGAGCGAATAGAGAGCTCAGTTTTCCAAGCAATGGAGCTTCCTGAATCATACAATGAAGTCCTGTAAAGCACCGTATTTTGGCCTAGATAAAAGACAGAGTTGTCTTCATTGTGAAGTACCCTAGCTAATTTTGCGGGGAAAAAATTCAGATTACAAATTGTCAATCGTAACTTAACATTTATTATAATCCATCAAATATTTTCGTTCGCGCGCGATTGGTCTAAACCCGTCAGGTGACTGAATACGCCCCAGCGAAAACTGGGGAATATACGAGTGATTCCCCAATTTTCAAATCTGCGCGTGTTGCGAAAAAGATTTGAAGGATAATAAACACAATAGCCTCCATTTAGCATGAAATATGCTCGGATACTGACATGTCTTTGGACATTATATATTTGTTCCTCAAAGCTCAAACTATTCGCTTCTCGGAACAGATATAATGCCCGCGAACAAATATCCGAGCATATTTTGGCGCCAAATGGATCGAGGCTATTGTTTATCTGTTTAAGCAGTCAGCGATATAAACTGGTTTGGAAATCATCATTGTCTAAGAATGTATTTCTTCCGAACAGTCCTTCGTGGGCTCAGGTAAAGCGGAGAGATCATCACACTACCAACACAACGATTACTTGCAGGTAGTATTGGCTCGTCAGCTCTTCCATGAATCAGTGTCTCTACGTCTCAAGCATGATCAGAGTCTCAACGTCTCAAGTACTTTTTGTACTACCGATTTTCAAAATAAGCTAATGAACGTGTCAATTTTTAAAGGACACTGAGGCGTAATGGAGGGTAAAATAGAATGACTGTTTTTTCTTTGTTATAAAATAGTTCATGGAATACTTGCTCAAGCGAGGAGGCCGTCTAAAGTTGAACCCAGTTATGGTGAGCAAAATATAGGCCGTTTATAACAGCTGTAGGAACTCTTGACCGCGTAGCGGCAAACTCGCGGATTCTGCCCTATAGCCTGCTAGGGAGGCACTAGAATCCTAGCTTGCAATCAGGCTCTCGCTCAGATCGTGCTTTGCGA